CAATATTAATCTTTTTGTAGGATTTTTCTAATATGCTTGCTAATATTCTCCTGATATCACCATCTATTCTTTCAAACCTTTTGTTTACTGCCTTTTTAATTTCAGTATGAGTACTACTGTTCTCTGCTGCTCTTTCAAGTACACACATTGCTTTTTAACTCTGCTTTGCTACTATTAACCATACCTGCAATGATGTGCTATTGCTATTTAATTTATTTAATAATATTATATATATGTTGTTAATGTGTTTTACTACATTATTAACTTTCTTTATCTCTGCTTCATCAATCTTATATATGCTACTTTTCTTTTTAAATGCCTAGATTACTTTGCTTAGCTTTATAGCATTATTATGTATTTTTGTCTCTTTTCTTCTGTATCCTGTCTTGAAACCAAGGTTAAATACTCACTTCTTTGAAATTGTCTTGTTTGCTGCTCTTTTAATTGCATCTGTGATTGTATTCTACAACTCATTTATGTATTGTTTAGGGCTCTTAAATCTCGGATACTTGACTACATTGCTGTTTAGGAGTAGACTGTTAACCTGTTCTTTATAATTATTCCAGTTCTCTTTGGTCACTTTGTTATAGAGAAAAACTATTCTGATGGCTCTGGTTTTTCTTGTTTTGGCCAAACTTCTTATCTTTATAAGATGTTTTAACATGATATTAGCTATAATGATACTGTAATCACTTGCTGTTATAGCCTTTGTCTCCATGATCTCTGCTTTTGTTGCACCATAAACCAGATCTTCTAATACCCAAATCTGGTCTATTCAAGATTTGATACCTTGGCCAAACCATATATACAGTCTTGCACATGGGTTTAGTGCTCTAAATATATCTGTAAAACCCTGATTTCTAAACTATTTGTGAAGTGGTAATAACTTGTGCACTGTGTGTCTATCGCTCCTACTCTTGTCTAGCAATAGGTCTATTACTCTATTGAAATCATCTATTACTATAAAGTGTGTTTTGCTAGATCTCTCTATATACTTGGTAACAATTGTTCTCTGAAGCACCTTCTTTAACTCTTTATTACTTGGCAGGAAATATACTACTATTACTATAATTTCAGTTTGTCTAAAATAGAATTTAGCTTCTATTATATATTCTTTTACTCTTGCAACTTGTCCAAGATGCTTTTTCTACTTTGCATCTACAATCAGCCCAACTCCTGAACCTTTCTTTTTTGTGATCATTACTCAACTTACTAAATCTTAATTCTTTCTCATTTGTATTTGTTTTAACCAGCTCTAGTATATTAATTTCATTCTCTAATATCTACATATCTATTGTTTTAAGCTTTGTCTTATTCTCCTTAATCCTGTTGATGTTGTGACATGCTATATTTAACCTAATGTCCTTTTTCTGTGTTATAAGGCTTGACTTTGAATCAGCTTTGCTATTTTGAGGCTGGATTCTTCTTTTACAGCTTGATGTTGAGCAGCCTCTTTTCTCTTTTACAATATCTGTGGCAACTTTTAGGAGCGGTTGGGAGTGTTAACCCTCTTGTTGTCTTTCATCAATCTTAGTGAGCCTCTTTATAATTTCTTCTAACATACTACCAAGTTTTTCAATGACTGCTTGATCACTAGAGCTTCTTGCATTTTTTGTAATCTCTCTTGTATTGCTTAATAATTCTTCATTACTTGTCTCTTTTAGTTCTTCTTGTTTGCTCTTCTTTCTTCTTTAAGTTTGAACTAAGTTTTAATTTTGAGCTTCTGTTTGCAATCTTTAACTGCTTCATTTATTTCTCTCTTATTGAGTTTGTTTAAGCCAAGGGTGTGCTTTTTAGAGTTTCTTCTTTCATCTAAAGGACATTTCTCTTTTACTAGATCTTGGTCTCTTCTAGTTCTTGGCACAATTAAACAAAAATTTGACAGTCAAATACTTGTTAATACTTGTGATTAAGTCAGACATCAAATGATTGCAAATTAACCAATAGTATATATTTAGCTTTG